CATAAAAGATTTATTCATAAATTTTTAGCATTTTGGAAATATTTGGATTTTACTGATAGTAGATAAAATGGCTGATATTTTACATTTACCCTCCCCCCCCTCCTAACATCAGCAAGATTACACGCTTACCTCAAACGGCCAAACTGTATAATTCTGTTGGGGCTCTCAGGAAACTTATCACCACTAACTCATGGTGACATATTTTTCAAAAATCTTCTGACTGATCGATAGAAAACAAATTTTCCTACATTTCTCCAACAGAAAGTATCTCTAAGTAATTGATGATAAAAAAAGATACAATAGAAATAAAAAGCATCTTCGATTTTCCTTTTACATTTACCTCATCTGATTCTGTAAAAATATCAGTAATCCATTAAATAAATGTAATTATAATGATCCAATCGGCTTTATTGTGTTCAAAGTTTTAACTATAATATTAGACAAAGAAACAATTTCACAATGAATTTATCGAGAATCGTTTCCTAGTGGTGGTAATTGTTGTTGTTTTCTTCTATCAATTTACAGTTCAATGTTAAGATTGATTGTACAATGCTTTTATCCATTGCCTATAAAAATAAAATGCATCTATGGAATACACATGTCTTTCATCCACACACACGCACACGCAATCCTTCTTGTTCCATTTGTAATACAACATGCACGAGAGAAAGTGTGAGGGCGTTGAAGGCGTGCTAGAAGAATACTTAAATACAGAATATTATATATAATCGGTAGTTTCCAAAGGTTATCTATATAAATCGTATATTATCATTATTAAATAAACTCATATTAGATTTCCTTACGATTAAAATATATTATATAATTTGTATTGTATTATTGCGTTTTTTTTAATTATAATCAAAACAAGTATTCGTATTTTAATGACATCTATATTTTGATCCGCTTTGTAAAAATGCAAAATTAATAAAAATTCATTGTTTTTCTATTGGTTTTTAGGATAGAAAAAGTTATTGTTCTTTATTTTATTTGATATTTCAATGAATAATAAATCTATTGTAAAGAAAACGTCATTTGTATAGAATTCTCATTTATTCATGATTATTAACGTATCATCTAGGGAATTGCATCGATAGTATCGCTTGATATTCAATTATCGCAACTTGCTACATTAGTAAACAGACCATGAGTCATATTTCCCGTTTATATATATATAATATTAATAAATAGTAATTAGAACCAATCAATTGTTCGTGAACGAAAAGAAGCAATAAAGTTTTCTTTTTTTTTTTGAATTATATACCATCTTGTATTATGATTGATTTTTGTTCCACGAAAGCATGTGACAAAATGAATGAATAAGAAACAACACACAAACAGACATTATTATCGATCCGTCTCTCTCTCTCTCTCTCTCTCGCGCGCGCTCGCTCTTTCTATCGTTTCTTTTTTCTCTTTGCTAAAGCACACCTTCAATCTTTTTTTATTTATTGTCAATAGAAGTTCTTTCCATTTTCAGTCACATTTGTTTTTTCAGATACATCATGTATTTAGTTCATCGTTAAATACAATATAGCTACGTCTTTATAGATTTTATTAAACAGACAAATTAATTAGAATGGGTCAAACACTGTCGGGTAAGATCGAATTAACTCAGTTAAAATATTTTTCTTTTATATTTAACATAGAACCGGTCACGTCAAAAAACTCTCAAAAAGTTGAAAACCATTTATATTCAGTGGGTAGTAGTAGTATGCAAGGATGGCGTATAAGTAAGTTATTATATTTTTCTTTTACTTTATGAAGAATTCTGTTTGTTTGTTTTTTGTTCAGATATGGAAGACGCTCACACTCACATTTTAACATTACCCGAAGATAAAAGCTGCTTATATTGCGCTGTCTATGATGGACACGGAGGTTCGATAAACTTTAATTTGTTTTAATTTTCTATTTTTTGGTTTTGTTTATAGGAGCAAAAGTAGCACAACATTCATCTAAATACTTACATACACGTATTGCTAATCAACCAGACTTTAGTTCGTATTTTAATCGATATGTTACTGAAAATTAATTGTCTTTATTTTCTAGAACAAGGAAATATTGAAGGAGCTATTCGAAAAGGTTTTCTAGAATTTGATAAAGAAATGTCTTTAGACGAAGATATAAAAGAAGACTTGGCTGGCACTACAGCTATATGTGTTTTGATTAAAGATCAAAAACTATTTTGTGTATGTTGAAAACAGAGAAAAAAAATGCAGCAAATATTTAAAATAAAAAAAAATCTAACTGTTAGGGAAATGTGGGTGATAGTCGAGCAATAGCGTCGGTTAATGGTAATGTTGAGATACTTTCTGTCGATCATAAACCAAATAACGATGAGGAAAGAAAACGAATAACAGCTGCTGGTGGTTGGGTAGAATTTAATCGTGTTAATGGTAAAGAATTGTTTAAAATGTAATAATTTTCATTGTATAATTTTATTATCAATAGGTAATTTGGCATTGTCTCGAGCATTGGGTGATTTTATATTTAAACGTAACACGGATAAACGAGCTGAAGAACAAGTTGTTACCGGTTTGAGCAGCACTTTTTTCATCTAATTTTGATTCAGATTCTTTTTATTTTTAGCTGCTCCGGATGTTGTTTGTAAAACAGTCAATGACGATTGGGAATTTATATTAATTGCTTGCGACGGTATATGGGATGTGCTTAGTAATGAAGAAGTATTAAAGTTTGTTCGAGTTCGTGTTGCTCAACAAATGCCGCCAGAAACGGTAGAAAGAAAAACAAGTTTTTTAAATGTTGTTTTTATTTGTTTATTTCTGGGTTTTTTTCGAGATCTGTGAAGAACTTATGACTCGTTGCTTAGCACCCAATTGTCAAATGGGTGGGCTCGGTTGTGATAATATGACAGTTGTCTTGTGTCTTTTACTACATGGACAACCTTATTCAGTGTTAGCCACGAAATGTTCAAAAAATTCAATCAATAGTGATCTATCTCCATCGTCACCAAATGAAGCGCCATCATCAAAATGAAAAAAAAGATAAAAATAAAAAACTGATTTTTTACATGAAGTCCAATAGTTGAACAATTTTTTTCGTTTTCTTTTTCTTCATATTTGATAATATCAATGTGTTCCATCATTTTCGAACAATATTGATTACTGTTGTCGGTGACGAGATCAAAAAGCAAACCAACAATATGATCCTTCGTTTTTTTTTTTCATTTTTCTTTATCTATTTTTTTTTTCTAATGAAAATGAAGACTGCTGATATGAGCACGCATCGGCAGTGTAAATTTATTTATATGCAAGCCAGCGTATGTGTGTGTGTGTGTTAATTCTGTATGATCAGTATGTACTATACTTGAACATTGACTTTTGCCATGTATACAGGAAAAAGATGTTATTCGTCAACCAGATGCCTTCTTCCTTTTTATGGTTGATTAGAATTGACAAGACATTTATACTTTGTTCTGTATTTCAATGCGTGCGTGCATACTTCTTTAGTTGGCGAATATAATATCTTTCATGTTTTGAAATTTCCTTTTCAACTGATGCATGTATGTGTTCACATTCGGTTTTATCCTTCTTTTGTTCAGTATCTTATAGATATGTGAAACATCACAAAAATTGAAATGAAATTAATCTCAATTTTATACAACAACAAGAGTTTTTTCCACAAGTTTGATCATTAAGTAACAGCAAAATAAAATTCAAATTTGATGGAAAGAAAAGAAAGTATTTTCATCGTTATCAATAAATACACATATTAAATGAAATTTTTAACCAGAATTAGACAACAATGGAAATGAGAAAATTCATCACAACCATACGTTGCATAGAACCAAGAATAGAAAATGTATTCTACTTATAAAAAAAATCATGTCATTCAATCTGTATCGGAAGGAAGGACTATATTATAAAACTTGTTAATCGAATGCTATTAGTTATTTTCGCGTATTGAACATTTTTTTCTTTCTAACAAGAACTATAAACATTTGTTTTAAGACATAAAATGATGTACATATGAAACAAAGGAAATTTGTATTTTGTTTTCTTTTGTAGCAAACTAATTAGCATCCCTGAGAGTAAAAAATCTGTTTCTATCGACTATACAAAAAGTCTCCGTCGCATTTTGAATAGACTCATCATAGGCTAATTTTATTGGGAAAAAAAAAGAAATCAATCATAAGAAATTGTTCACTTTGCTTCCTTCATAAATGTATCACAAGAACAAATTAATACGTCATTGAAAATCGAGCGAAGAATTATCCATGTCAAAATTAATTCTATTGACTGTCAAGTCAATATCAATGAAAGAGAAGTTCTTTTTAGTTAGATGCTTATTTTCGTTTGGTTGTTGGCTTTTTGTTTTTTTTATTTTTTCGATGATACGTATAAGTATACAAAACAAAAAACAGTAAAAACAACCAACAAAGTTCTTTTGTAAACGGATATTATTTTTAATCTTCTTTCACTTGAATTGTACCACGTATACGACCTGTACGTCTGGCAGCAATAAGACCGACCTTTAAACAACGAAGAGAAAATAAAAATTCTATTATTTATTAATATGAATAAACAAACTTTTCGGCCTGGTGGTGCATAACGACTGACTGTTGACGGTTTGCCGATGTGTTGATGATTACCACCACCGAATGGATGGTCGACAGGCTAGAAAGAAAGAAAAAAAGAAAATCATGAATGTCTGAGTTATCCATCGTTTAACTTACGTTCATAGCAACACCACGAACTTTAGGCCATGATTTTCGTTTCGCTTTAAATTTATGATAAGATCGACCAGCTTTCAAGATTGGTTTATCAATACGACCACCACCAGCTACGATACCTACACATCACAAAGAAGAAAATTTATTTAGTATTGCAATTTCAATAAAATAATATATATATATATATATGTTTTCAGTAAAAGCCTCTAGATATGGTTTCATGATCATTCATTATGTCAGAAACAATTATTGGAATATCGTTCATCATTTAACATATATATATATATTGATAATTGACATTCGGTGAATGCCTCGGTTTTTTTTTGACAGTTAGAGATATCTACATAGATCACACTATAGGAAGGGTGATATGTGACAAGTGACTTGTTAAGTGTCATATCATGGCTGATAGAACTGAGATTTGAACACAGTACCTTGTGAATACGTGTCGAACAACATAGCCATTCAGTCATGGTGACTATATCTAACTCGATCGATTCATATGATACTTACCAACCATAGCACGATTAGTGGACGATAGATTTTTCTTGGCACCTGATGGTAATTTAACTTTTGTTTTACCACCTTCAGGATTGTGTGAGACGATTGTAGCATAATTACCTAAAAAAAAAAGAAAAACAAATTCGTGAATGTAGAACTCAGAAAGCTATAGATCATCAAAAAAATATTCAGTAGTCGAAACAACAGCTTAAAATGATATCATCATTGTTCAAACACTCACCAGATGCTTTAGCTAATTTACCACGATCACCAGTTGTTTGTTCAATTTGACAAACAATTGTACCTTCGGGCATTTGTCCTAATGGCATTACATTGCCAATTGTTAATGCAGCTGAAAAATATATATATTTGTTTTATTTTCTAAAGTTTTCGTTGTTCGTTACCTTTTTTACCACAATAAATAAATTGTCCAGTGTACATGCCTTCAGCAGCAACTATTAGTTCTTTTCGTTTTTTATATCGGTATGGATCGCGGAAGTGTACAACTGCAAGTGGAGCACCACGACCTGGATCGTGAATGATATCCTAATGAAAATTAGGAATTCGAAAAAAAGACTCATTATTTAGTTGTTGGCCTTACTTTAATAACACCACGTAAATAACCCTGTCGTTCAGCATAATCCAAAGATCGTAATTTAGCTGGACCCTTGCGATGGAAGGTGCGAGAACGAAAGATGGCTGAACCACCTTTACGTTGGGCGCGAATGACTCTACCCATTTTATCTACAAAGGAAAATCAAACAGCTTGTTAGAAGAAAACGAATTTTGTTTTTTTTTCGACTAAAATGATAAAGGAAATTGTATGGACTGTCTGCCATCGATTGTAGCTAATTTGTTGCCTCCTTCACATGGGCAACAAAACAAATATAGAAATAAATATAGGAATTTTCCTATGGAAAATGTTTTAATTGAGAAAATTGATTTGAAAAACTTAGTTTCATTAAATAAAATATACAATAAGCGCTACAATCGGAGAATCAAATACTTCAGCCAATCAGAAAATTGTTGTTATGTCAATGATTTTTTTTCTGATTCATTCGTAGAAAAATAAATTGATCATCAACTCTCTTTTGCCAATTGTTTATTTCAACAGTCGTAGTTTTAAAACAATTCGGTCATATAGTCCACATTGCACTTGAAATGATTTAATTCAAATTTACATCGTGCAGATCTTTTTCGACATTTACTCGTGAATTATATGGAACCAAAGTTTTGTAGCTAACAACAGATGATTAGTAGTTCGCTTTTAGTAAAACAATAATTTATTCTAAGGCTACCACCATTAGACTGACTAAATATATGATGTATTGAAAAAGTCAACATTTGTTTTTCATCCGATTATTTAATGTTAGCTATGTCGATGTAACCATCCATACAGCAGGTGTTCTAACACATGCCAATAATTTATTGATCATACTGAAGTACTTTTGCATTACAGCATAGAACATTTATTAGATCGACAACACGTCACGAAATTTTGTTTATTTTAGACTAGTTCGATATAAGAGATAAATACAATGCTTCAATCTCGTGGTGTTTCTGATTTACTTGCAGCCGAAAAAAAGGCACAAGAGCTTATTGAAGAAGCTCGAAAACGTAAGTTTTTATTTAGATTTTTCTTTTAACTAATTTCATGAAATAATAAACCATAGGCAAAAACAAACGTATAAAAGATGCTCAGAGTGAAGCAAAAGCTGAAATTGAACATTTCAAGGCAGATCGTGAACGACAGTATAAAATTTTAGAACAGCAAGTTAGTTAATTGTTAATAACATTTATATGTTTTCTATATAAATAAACTCTTTTCATTTTTAAATAGCAATTGGGTAATCGTACTCAAATGACTGAACAATCGAGCAAAGAAACTCAAATACAAATAGGTGCATTAAAATCTCAATATGAATCGAACAAGCAACAATTACTTCAACGTATCATTACACTTGTTTGTGATATCAAACCTGAAGCACATATGAATGCTCGTTTCTAATAATAAAATACAACAACGGTAACATTTTTTTTCTCTCTCGCTCTCTCTCTCTTTTCTTCTTCTTCATTCCAACACGTTAACTATTGTGTAAGATGTCGTTATATATTCATTTTTTTGTCGTCTCATTTATTTATATAGAGCAACCGTACCTGTACGTCATATTTTATTATTTATATACCTTTTATTGCAACCGGAATATATTCTCAAGTAGATAAATATACATTTATTCAGGAAAATGTCTTCCGTTTGTGGAAAATTCATTCAGAACGTATCCGAATTTTCTAATGGATGAAGAATTTAAAACTATTTATTTAGTAGCTACACATTGAAGGTCTTTTTGTAAGTGCATGTTTAACAAATAAGCAAATCTTCGAACGGCACTAAAATTTGTTTGATAGAAATATTTTCAGTAGAAGAAAGTGGTGAATCTGTACTTATGAACTCTCATCTCCTATGCATTCTGTCGTCAAAAATAAAGATAATTCCAATCCGGATGCGAAGAGTACTGATGGATTTAATGAAACTATATGAACTTATGATTAACGCATGCAAATCTAGGCTACTGCCAATATAAATAAGCCAATATTTTTATGGCGCTGATCTTTAGAAAAAAAAAGAATAGAGAGATTGATGCGAAAAATAACCGAGTTTCAAGGAGAGATTTTTTCCGGTATTATCCGAAAAAATGCCGTATTTTCTGCATGGTTTGTCAATAGTGGAAATGAGGGAGTCGATAAAAAGAACAATCCTATCTAATGGAATCAACAAGATTAAATCACAAAATTGTTTCAAGCTATTATCATAGAAAAATCTTCAGTGTTATTAACAACTTGTTTCAATCTTCAAACATTAGAAATAATCAATTGTTTTCTCGGAAAGAAATTTAAATGTCAATTATGAATAAGTCTTCTTGAATACTAAAAACCAAATAAAACAAAATTGTTTCAAATACTTTCGCATCGATTGTTCATACACTACGAATACAAGGCTAACACAACCAATAACTTGCAAGATTATTAACAATATATTAGCAGACGCTATCAGTGGAGATTATTCTCATTTGTAAGCTGCAGTAAAGCGAACTGGATTCGATAGATATTGGAAACCAAATTTTTCATCTTAATTGATGAAACCATAGAATGTAGCATTCTAGCTACTCGGAAAAAGAACTCAACGTTACTGTGTTTTGAATCTGAATAAGAAATGTATACGATTACGATATAACTTATCCACTCGATTAAAAACTTTTCTTTAGAAGACTTGATACAATCGAAACGATAATTTTGCCATAAATACTGACAATCAGAGATTGAAAATCGATTGATTAAAGCAACAAAAGAATTATTTATCCTGTGAAAAGAGATTTTCAAAATTTTTTGAAGTAAAAAGAGAGTTATACGCTGCATTTTATTATTATTTATGGTATGATTAATTATTGAAGAACTTCAGATAATCTCTAATTATCTTCTGGATGAATGGATTCTCTGCTTATTTCTATTTCAAAACTTATTGTTATAAAAGAGATTGCATGATATAAAGATGAATCTGCCCCAGGCAGAAAAAAAATTTTCTTACTGAATTACCTGTGAGAAATCTTTGGCTTCCTTTATCTCAGCAGGAAGCATATCCTGCTGTCGGATCTTGTTGGACTTTATACTATGATTCAAACTATGTCAACATGAAACTAAGAAAAGCTTAGCAGGATTAAAACTCATGACATGCGAACAATGAATAATGGATGCTATAATCAAAATGTTCACTAATATCAAAGCATGCACAAATAGTTTTATTCAGCAAATTTTGACCTCAAATATAATTTAAAAGGAAGCTTTATTTCCCATTCGTCTGCCTTGATAACTTCATTCTATGTTCTAGACGTTTTTTTTTTCGGTGTGAAAATACAACCTAAAGGGTTCTAATAATAGATCTTGTTGTATGATAACAAAACGAGACACTTGCAATCGAAGTATAAATGTTTGCACTCAATTTCATCCATATGGTAATGAAAATGTCTCGACAAGAAAGAGATTTTTCTTTTATAAATAGAATGTTTATCATTAGTATAATGGGTATTACATCAAATACCATAATCAACGTGTTATGACAGAATACATCAACAGGAACTTCATGTTCTGTCACTTGCTAATACGGAAAAGTTCGCCATCTTGAATTGTTTTCAATCTATTTTGATGACTTATTCCGATTGAATGCCTCCGCTCAATTCTCAAGATCCTAATTAAATCTTATCAGACTCAACAAATATAATCGAAACTTGATTAATTTATAAAGATAAGACCACGAAAAGTAAAGACCAACGTACCAATGAATCGAAACAAAAATTAACTCGGGAAACAGATAACAAGAAATGATTACTGTATCTTCGTAATCAAAATTATCAAGTACAACGTGCAAATCTGATCGATATACTAAATTTCAGAATAGATTTTTTATCTTTAAGTTTGTCATCATATGGCAAATTGACATGAAATCTTATTCCTATCATCAACTCACCTTAATTGCAAACTTCATTGAAAATACCATCAATAAAATTCCTAATTCAGGCGAAAACAACAGAAAAATTTTAATATATCATACGATACTAGATTTCCATATGTATAATGCATTACCATTAAAGTTAAAACTGATGTATCTATGAGTTTCATTATGATTTGAGTTAATAATTATGAAAATAAATGTGAATTATTTCCAAATTTTCTTTTGTAAAAATTATGAAGCAGATAAAGTTACAATTTGAATACATAGAATAAAGCAAACAATCAATTATATCTAATTGAGATTGAGTTTTGAGTCTCAATAGGAAATAGTTGTACGCAAAAGCAAAAGTCCTTTTATTCTCTACCTATGATTACGAGTATTTTTTTATCAGTTGTAAAACTGTTTTTTTTATACCTTGGCAATGTTAATTATAAACGTTAGAATCACCCATTCGTTGTTTTAGATCATGCATTAACAATTCAAAAATACTTCAGCAAGATTTATAAAAATCCATTCTTTTCTTGCCTTTCATCTTAATTTTTGTAATTAAATAGTTTCAACTAATTTTAGTTTTGTCGAAACACATTGAATGATTGATGAGTACTGATATGATAGTGAATACGAGTTTGATAGACGACACATCATGGCTTGTTTTAACGTAATTTGAGAATGATGATCTGAATAAGAGGCTACTAACAGCATCTTCAATGGAAGTGTATGATGTTATGCTATCTTGAGAGTACGAGGCGGTTTCAGTTTTAAAAATATATTGATGCTGAGAACTGAACTATTATCCGTTCCAGAAGTCAAGGCAGTCGGTTGTTTTTTGAATAACGTCTGATAGGAACAAGATGGAGACCTACCGTTTTCACTGTTTCATAACCAAGACCCAGACGCATATGTTCATGAGCAAAATCTTTTCTAAGGAAAAATTTGAAGACCGGTTTTTCAGAGGATCACTGGAAAACCAGTCTGGATTTCTGGTAAGGGTTATAGAAGTCTATAGATTTTCTGACACATTCGGAATCAGCATTAAAAAGTGAGCCGACCAATACATGTTTCGAATCTTTCACGAAGTTTTATTTTCGTCGGGAAATTCACCCCTGTGGTCTCGCTCAGGGTTCGGTCAAAAAGTAAATTCCATCAAAATGCTGTTTTTGTTGATTATTCATTTACCATTTTGGTTTCTAACAGCATTCTACAAACTTGGAACCTGCTTCCTACTGTCCAAATGGAATTTTTCTGGAGTTCACTTTTTGACCGACTCCTGGGCGAGACCACAGGGGTGAATTTCTCGACTTAAACAAAAGTTCGTGAAAGGTTCGAAATATGTATTGGTCGACTCAGTTTTTAATGCTGATTCCGAATGTGTAAGAAAATCTATAGACTTCTATAACAGTTACCAGAAATCCAAAGTAGCTTTTCAGTGATCCTCTGAAAAATTGGTCTTCAAATTTTTCCTTATAAAAAANCTTAGAAAAGATTTTGCTTATGGACATATGCGTCTGGGTCTTGGTTATGAAACAGTGAAAACGGTAGGTCTCCATCTTGTTCCTATCAGACGTTATTCAAAAAACAACCGACTGCCTTGACTTCTGGACGGATAATAGTTCCATTTTAATGATTGAACTATATTCGTAAATATTTCCTGGTCTACCAATACCTCTAAAACTGGGAGAGGACGAAATTCGAAGACTTTCAGAATTTCGGATCAGTGTTTGAAATTCTACAACGATTTTCGGATAATTACTCTGAAACGTAGACATTTATGCAAGCGCTTATTGAGATTGAATTTGTTTTCGATAATTTAAATGAGTTTTCGAAGGGATTTCAGAATATTGCTGGTTTATTTGAAAATGCACTTTTTCGGAATGTAGATCAACGCGCATAAATCGCACGCAACTAAACTACCTAACAACGATTGGAGAAATAACTGTTCCAAAATGTGTAGCAACTTATTTGTGAAATAAGCAGGCAAAAATTAATGATGTTTACTTCGCCTTTCTATTTATTCAGTGATGCTGTGCTTGTTGTTCCGACGAAAATGGAGACTAACTGATTGGATTTAATATGTGATAAGCATGATCGTGTAAAATGACTTCGTAGGTACGTCCATTACGAATGTAATACCAAAAGCGTTTTTCGAACGTAAAATAGAAAGCATGACTTTCTAACCAGGTAAGTGGATAACTCCTTCCGTCGAATTTCGCAGAAGAAAGTGTGATTTCGATATGTTTATAATTATGAGATTGGATGAAATTACCCAAAAGTTTGCCTGACACTGTAGGACAGTCTTTTGTGGACATAGCTGTTGTGGTCATAGCCGCGGCAATTTCTGTTGAAGGACCTATGGAAATCGACGAGAATACAAGAAAGTTCACAAGTTATGGCAAAGAGTAGATAAGAATGACAACAAAAACTAGAGTTTTTCTTGACCAGAAATGTAAATCCTATCATCGAACAATATCCCACATGTATACTGAAATATTTTTTCAACACAATAGCAATATTGCAGGTGTATCTGTTTTGAAACTCTAGTCAATCTACGTTATATTTTTAAATTTATTTCAAAGAACTTAGTTTAGCGATTATCAAACTAAGATTGTGCTGTCAACGAAAGAGTTTCGTCACAACTCCAATATGTTGTCGTTGAACATGAGTGTGAATGTCTCAATATAGCTATAGTCTTGAGGAATTTCGTTTTATTAAATGTGCCTTTATCTAAATCGATCTTAACTTTTGAAGCTACTGTATTCTATCTACAATTTATTTGTTTAAATACATCAGAACTTGTTTGTACTTATTTCGAGCTGCTTCTTTCTCGATACGGCAGATAGAACATATGAGAATTTGAACTTGGAGTGTGTCAGCGATAGACAGCATTATAGAAATCTACATAACATATCCTCATGTGTAAAGAACTTTTTTTCGATGAATTCAAGATGGAATTCAGCATCAGTTCTAGTGTTTACTAATGGAATTGGAAAATGGTGTGATATTAGTTGCTAAGGGTTTGATTCATCATGACGAGAATATTATTGACTCTAAGGAACCGGGATATCTCTTTTTAGTAATGACATGACCCGGTAAGAGTCTTTACTTGTTGTTGCTAACTGTGATGTCACAGGTGGGCAGATTTCTGAGGCAGTCAACAGCACTGGGTAGCAAATTGGAAGGTTATGGCAGCGCGGGTGACTTAGGCAAACGGATTTGGTGTCATTGCATGAGTGAAGCGGAGGTCCGCACGGTACAAAATCAGAACATGTATCGTGAACAAATCCACATAAACCAAGACTATTGGAATAGAAATGATGTAAACAACCACAAGCACTGTTTCTCGAGCACGCTCCGTACTGCTCCATATTAAAGCATGTTTGATATGCAGCTTGAACTACTAAAAGAAAAAATGAACTGTTCGAAATTAGATTAAAAAAACCGTATGATCGAACTTGAAGCACTAAAATTTGAAGAAACGATGAAGCTTGTTAGTAGAATCATTAACAACATACGCTTTCCTTACTAGACAATGGCGAATAGCATGCGATATGAAATTGTTTTTAGCATTATTTTTTTATCAGCGACGACCTAAGGTTTAAGTTGGTAGACGAAAATATTATTATCACATTCGACTTGCATCTATCATTCAGTTTATATAACAAACCATATCTATTATTTACCCTCTTTACTACTTTTGCCTTTTCTCTCTTGATTCAAAGAGAATGACGCAATTGAGCACGTCTCCAGATTTTGTAAAACCAGCACAAGAAAATGTTGTAGAGATCTTATCTTAAGTAAATAGAATAAATTCTATGATCTCAAAACATTGATAAGATTTTTATCATTAAAACGTTTCCTGAGAAAAATTATTTTGAATTCATATTATCTTATTCGTGAAAGTTTCCACAATTCTAAGCCAATTATCTAAAATAAATATTCTCGAATGATGATTCTACTCTTGTTCATATTGATACAACTATTGTGGCAATGACTTAAACAACATAATTTATTTCTGAAAGTCTTGTAAAAATTATTGAACAGATTACTGAGATTAAACAGTCTGGGTGTGGGTGTGGGCCTTCTATTTATTTGGTCCCCGACCCTGATGCTCTCAAAATATTGTTCATTTGATCATTTCATATTTCGTCTATTAGTTATACGACGAATGTTACAAATGCCTACGACATCATTGACCGTAATTCTTGGAATCTTGAATATAAATCAGATTAAGAACATCGATAAACATTTTCTGTGACTGAGATATTCTAAGTAAAATCTGTGATTGTAAATGTTAATATTCAAGCGTCAATAGTATGAACGTCTTGTAGTCATACACTTCGATTACATCGGATACGAATTTCACTAAATGCAGAGGCGGCGTGAACAGGGGGATTCGTCTGGGAAGAGTAGACTAGGGATAGTATTCTGTACTAAAGGAGCTGGTTCGCATTTTTCTTTGCCTAATCAGTCCGATTGCGACTAATTATGCATCAATGAAGTAGAAGAAATTGTTATTTTACATTATCACAAACACAGAATTTATATACCAATTTGTTCTTATAATTGTTATCAGTTGTCTTTTTTTACTAGAAAATGTTTTAGGAAAGAAAAAGAGGAAAAACCTCCCATTTCCATCTTCAGAAAACTGCAAGAAATATTTCCAAAATTCATGAAGCCTGAACACTAAAATTTTTCCTCCCAAATTAAAGATAACCTCTCACNAATAAAATGCAGAAAAAATTTCTATCGAAACTCTCAGAAACCTAAGTAAAATATCCGAAAGCGTCTTCACAAATTTCCGAGGGACTTCTAAAAAATAACTAGGGAGTCCCTGTAGAGAAGTCCCTATGGGCTCCCTGTCCACTCCCTGGGATTTCGAAGGGACTTCCCAGCCGAGTTTTAGAAATCAGTCAGAAGCTTTTGAAGGCGCTTTCGGATTTTTTTACGTAGGTTTTTGATAGTTTCGATAGAAATTTTTTCATCTTTTTCTTAACTCCCCACCCTCCCGCCTTACTCTTATTACTTCGCGCTGCCCCTGACTAAATGAATCTTCATATTTCATTGATGAAAAACAAAAAGAATAAAATATAAATTGCTTATTCGTACATTTGTCTTTCTTTGAACGAAAGCACAATTATAGATAATAAAGTACAGACAGACAGACAGACAGACAGACAAATATGAGCACACAGTCACACACACGCGCACACAAAAAATAACAACAACAAACAACATTGACTAAAAATACTTTAGATGATTCGGTTAGAAAGCAGCAGCTCCGTTCCATCCATTGAGAAAATACTGTTGACTGTCGACAATCACCGACGTATGGTGGTACGGATGTTCTGTTGGATAATTTGTTGATGTATAACAATTATTCATTGATGGATACAGGTCAATTTTATCAGACGGTAGATTTGTTTCATAATCAATATCAGATAGATGATGGTGATGATGATGAGATTCATTATCAAGACGAATTCGTTTATTTACGTCACATAATGCTAAAGTATCATATGAGGAGCCTCGTTTAAGAGTGTGTTGCTGTTGATGCTGCTGCTGCTGTTGTTGCTGTTGTTGTGGTAAAAGTTGTTTCTTTTTATTTAACATCATTTGATGTTGTTGTGTTTGTTTGGGAGGAATCATTTTCGGTGATAGTAAATTATAATCATTTGATTGTGGTTGGTCATAGTACATTGAATTATATATTGGCAATGAGGAATAAGACGATGGCGATTTATTATCGTCGTCTAGATTTGAATATGTTGGAAAACATAATGGATGTGTATAATTATTTGAAGATGTATAAGTTGCAATGTTTGGATAATTCGGTTGAGAATGATGAGGATGATGAGAATTATAATAAATTTCGTCAGGATTATAACATATGCCAGTCGGTGTTGATGAGTAATCATCCATAGTTGTGGGAGATGAGAGTATTTCAGCTTTTGTCATTAGTCTAGGTGAAGATTTACGTTGTTTTATCGAACGAGTTGGCTTAAGAACTTTATTCGCAGAATTTCTATTTGATGTTGATGATGATGAGGAATTTAAACTTGTATTTGTTGATGAGCATTTATCAGGGTCACCTGAATTAGCTGCTAATGTTGCTAATGCTTGAGCTGAACGCATATAGTCAGATGGAGTTTTTTCAACTTGATCGACTGATAATTTTAGATGTTTAGCTTCGACGTCACTTGAAATGGAAAAAATTAATTTATCAAATTACTGATAGAGCAAATATAATAATTTACCTTAATGCATGATTGACACTAACAATAACTTCGGGTCGTGATGATCGACTATTATGAACAAGTGTGGCATAACTTTGTACTGCAAATGCAAAAGAAAAACATCGAACATGTGAAATTAAGTTTGAATAGAATATTTACTCCATATCCAACCGCCATTTCTCGTTAAGAAACGATAATATCGTGTTGTCACTTGTCCTTTAGTAAGTACTAAAACAACAACAATATACATATATACATAGAAGTAAAAATCCTTATGAAAGATCATTATTAAATGTTGTTTTCAAAATGAATAATTATGTAAATTGCACAGAAACAGTTAAGAATCGTAGTACTTCATCTCATGGGCTCCAGCGATTTTTTTCCACAAAAGTTTCTACTTAAATGTTAATGAACTATTGCAGTTGAAGGAGTCTGAAAATCGATATTCTAAATTTTATCAGAAGATTAATTTCATATTGAAAACATTTCTAAACAAAATAAGATTTTCAAGAGCCCTTCATGGAAAGTATTGTGCGTTAGGCTTAAAGATCTAAGAAAACGATTCATTTTTCTAAGTAGTAGAACGAAACAATGATGTAAGCAAGTGTGGACCAAGTTTTACTACCAAAAGAAAGAATTAGGTTTACTACTGCAATAGATTTCTTTCATAAAAACAAACGATCCTGTTATATACTAATGATTTCTTCGGATGAGAGAAATTTTTTAATTGATCAATCATTTATTCTACCAATAACTTCCACACAATAGTATTCTCTGGACATCTATGTGATTTGCTTAGAATCACAAATTCTAAATTAAAAAATCTGAGAAGAACTCGCATTTGATCGAAGTCGTTACAGTTTTTCTTTTGTACCGAAAAGCTCTTAAAACAAGATTTATCACTAATTATTCTCGAAGAAAATATTATCGACATTCCTCATTAGATAGTTTCGTTTATCATTTGATACCGAAGTTTTCTAAGAAACAAATGAAATTTCGTTGCTTACAAACTTGATGAGCCCATCTTAATGCCATTAAATCTTGCGTATGTACATAATGATACAAAGTTTTATCAACAAGGTCTTGTGGTTCATATCCGGTTATTTGTGATACTCTAATGAAGTGAGTATAAATACAAAAAAGTATCATCCTAAAAAAAAGTAACTTACCTCGAATCAAGAAATAATAATTTTAAATCTTGTCCAGCTCGAAACATAAAAATATTGGAATAAAGACGTATTTCTGTTATTGAACAACTTGGCAAAGAATAACCATAGGCAACAAGACCAACATTTTGATAGCAATTTTCCGTATTATTTACGCTGGTCGTAGATCCATAATATGATAATGTTTCCAGATTAAATTGTTTGACTTTTAAATAACCCGAACAATGTATAACTTTAAAACCGCTTGCTGTTAAACCAGCATTACGTTTAGCCAGCACACATTTCATGCGTATGAAAAATGAACGTTCAATTTCATATTCACTATTTGAACATAAGCTTTGATTATATGTTGGTAATGGTGCTGTTAGCACAGCAGCCATTTCTTCATGATCGATTGGATGAATATATTCATAAATAGAATTTCCAGTTAATTCAACTTGTGATAAACCTAAATGTGTTGATGCTGTTTCAGATATATACATAATTTTTCCATCAGGACCAACAACAAATAAAAACCCATCGAGAATCTGATTAAAAGAAAATCAATATTATTAAATGGGATCTATCATTTATCATGTTTACAAACTTGAGTTAATTGAGAATTAACTTCACGTTCAATGGCTGTTTGCGTCAGTGAACGTGAGCCCCATGCACTACCAAGTCCTTTAACAAAAAAATGACATACATATACGTATAAGAGAAACATTTCTAAATTTATCATATAAAAGCAACAAGATCAAGTATCTATGAATTCATTAAGAACTTAAGTAGTTCATGTTATTTTTACATTACACAAAATTGGAAATCCTTATTATTATCAGATCTATTTTGAGGAATAGCATAACGCTTTCCGGATTCTATCTTATAAGGTACATCCTAAATTTTCGAATCAAATTTTCAAGATTTTATTAATCGCTAATATAGAATTTATTTCAATCGATGTCTTATTCGATTGTTTTAGTTCTATAGGCCAATAAACGAAGAAGAAAAACAGAACTGATGAAAATTATTCCTATATATTTCAATGTTGCATTGAACAATATCAATTTCCATTTCAATCATATCAAAAGCGGTAACGAGAACAGCTCATCGTCTATGTGCGATTTTTTATTGAATTCCTGTTGTAAATATGAAATGTAAGTGATGAGACTGTTACCGAGACAAAACATCCGGATGGAATAAGAGATTCATTTCAAGTTAAGCTGATCAAAGTCAATGTAAAGAAATAGAAAAGAAAAGAAAAAAATTATTAGAACCAATACGATTCCTTCGTCTTATATTTTTTAATATAAAAACGACTCGGACAAAATTGTCATGTACAGCAAACAAACTCTTGCTATTCTAATTGTTCCTTTTTCTTCTTCTTCTTCTTCTTCTTGTTCTTAGAATATATACAGCTATGCAAGAATAAATTTTCGAAAAATTTTCATTCTTTGTTCAATCATTTCATATCAATTTCCAAATGAACTATAACATAAAATGATAAATGAACATGTTAAAATTCTCAACATTGTGTCAATGATGTCATCTTAGCGGGTAGAATCAATACTCATTGGTTATAGATCATTAGATTACCTTCGGGTATGATTGCACGCATTTTAAGATAGCTTGTTGTAAGACGTATAACAGATGCTTTATCCAATTGATCAGTAATTGCATGTGGTAATGGTAGAAGTTTAGCCAATTCGAAAAATTCAGCATTTTCTTTTTCGCGTCGACTTCGTGCTGCATTCTTTGACTTTTCTTTCATTGCTTCAATTCTTAAAGAAACAAAAAATATCAACATAAAAAGATCATATGAAATTTATGACTTTCTGATTAATTCTCGATTGTCTATGAACGCACACACACACACACATGTTTTCTTTATTCATCGATGTTACCTATGAAACCGTGCCGCAGTTTTTCATTGTCATCTATCGACTGAATATCTCTATTAATGAGAAACTCGTTAAATGAGTGGGAGAAAAAGACAACAGGAAACAAATTAGCATTGTTAACAATATAAAAAAGAAGAGAGGTTCGAAATCCTACTTAACGCATCCATCTCATTTGACACGCGCATCTAAATCATTTTCTATTTTTATTTCAAAGCAGTAATAATCTGATCAACATTGTCTACTAAATTAGTTCAATTTCATTCATTTTAGAAAGAAAAAAACTCTTCGTCTTCATCGTACAAAAAAAAGTCGAGAAGGAAAAGAAAACTTACTTATGATATAAAATAGTACGTAATTAATAAAAACAAGCACAACAACAACAACGGTTTATTAATCCGCTGATGTTGCTGCCATGCTTATAACACATATGAGAAATGTCTCCCTCTTGCTTTTCTTTTTCTCCTTCTTCTTCTTCTTCTTCTTCTTCTTCTTTTTACATTCATCCATGAGAAGATGTCCGTTGTATACAAGCACACTTCTATTCCTATTCGCTGATGAGATTATTTTTTTCTCGCTTGCTTGTTTCTTCTACAACTCATATTCCTATGGTACACTAAACTAGCACAATACTATCAACTTATGAACGTCTCATCCCGAAAAAAAACCGTCTTCAATTCAATCGATAAAGAAGACAATAACTGCAGTGAAAGTCTCGTATTCTCTATTTAGGATCTAACAAGCCGAAGCAACACTTTAAATATGATTGACCTTAGAAATAGAATATCTTTATCATTTGAGCGTGACCAAATCTCGACATTTTCTTTTTTCTGATAAGTTCTATATGAAGACGAATAGTTTATTTGCCTGCTCTATCTCTCTGCTATTCTTGATTGATTTGTCTAATATAAAAAAAAAAACTCTATCTTATATGTTAACTTTTCTCACTTCAATCGAATGTATATGATATCGAACACAGAAAAAAAAAGAAAGAATAAAAGGAATTAGGATGAGATTAGCACACGATATACAACCAACAGGTTTATATACAAAGAAAAGCGGTAGTTCAATCTCTTAACAAACTTCTTTTATTGAATTACTTGTAACAAAATTTTACTAACGAAACAATACAATAAACGAAAATATCATAGAAAATTGTTCTTCGCTGCACTTTACAATGCAGAAGATATCCATAGATAGCTTTATGAAGCAAAGAGTATTTTGCATATATTGTTAATTCTTGTTTTTTGACATTAACACATCAGAGAGTGTTTGTCAATTGAAAAGAAGAGAAAGAAAGCTACCTAGCTAGAAACGATGAAAAGTAAATACACGGCTTGTTCTATGACAAGAGACATTGATTAATCGAGTTAGCCATGGGACAAAGAAAAAAGTCAACATTATTATTAAACTTATAGGCAAGCAAGCTATATATATATATATATATATGAAATGCATGTTGAACAAAATACTCAATTTCTACTATGATCATTATTATGATGAGATGATTCTAAGGTTTGAAATTTGCATGTGAATTATTTGTTTGAAAGTAACATATATAAAAGATGCTTTGCAAGTGCTCATATCAAATGGAATATGTTCGAGTTCTTGTTTTGATTTATAATTAATAATGAATTTTGATTAGAAAAGTTTTACTTTTAAAAGAAAAAATAAAATTGAACTTTGTCAATAAAGAAATCATCTTTGAATTCTGAGAAGTCGTTGGCTCAACGTCAGATCAAAGAAAATATCGAATTATTTATAATGATTAAGGCTTTTAGATCTTATTTTCGACTATTCCAAAGTATAAACATTAGTATATTTTCCATTGAATAATGTCAGAGCGGTCGAGCGAGAAATAATTCTAAATTGACTGTAAGGAACTCCATCAGTTTTCGTTTATTGACCTTTTTAAACTCAGTATGCATATAGAGAGAGTTTAGTTTTTGTTGCTGTTGAGTATTTTAAACTGGTATCGATAGAATAGATGTTGATCAAATAAAGCAAAGTGCTCTATGGAAATAATGAGTGAGTAGTTAAATGATAATTCTCATTCACGTGTGTGAAGACGTCATGGGGAAAGTAACATTAAAAAAAAAAACGATTTTTTTTCTTCTACAAATGAAGCTACCTATAAAGTATTTTCATACAAATGAACTCGTCATATTTATTTTTGGCAAACAAGAAGATAAATTAGGAGACATCAAAGAACTTTCATTTTATTTATTCTAGAACTAGCAAGCCAAAAGAAATAAAAAGATATGACCGATGACAATTTTTTATGATAACTAAATGGCTCATAGTACTTGTACTCATGTGTAATAGTGCTATCAAATGAAACAAATATTTTAAGTGCGATATGTCAGACAGTTATCATTCTATTTCCGTTGCTATTAACAACGAATGGCACTGTTCGATATGAAGAAATCTAAATGAACTTCTTTGATATCAAAACTAATTTGACGGAAGTCTAACTAACAGAATAATGAGTGTTAATTCCTTGAGCCAACGAATGTGAACCCCTGTGGATGCAGTTCTGTACGGATAATATAACTTCATGATTTTATTTCTATACTATGAGTACACTAGTTTCTCATGTAAAGTTTCAAGTTCTCGAGAATTATTTTTTTCGAAGCTACAAGTTTAAATATTCAATAGAATAATGTAACACTGTAATCTGAGAATAAATCAATAAGAAATGATGCTTTGAATATTGATTTCAACCTCCTGGAAAATTCGAAGTGTTTTAAAATCTATATTTTTTTCAGGTGAAACTATTGTGTTGAATAGTGTTGTGTGATTTAAAATATTGAATTAGACAGATATATGAGATGTTCACTCAATTAATTAATCACAATAGGTTTTGATCAGAACGGACACACGATTGAGATACACTTGTTTGCGATGAATAAATCCTGCAGAGGGACCTACCTATCGGCATATGACAATCAAATAGAAAGAGAAAAATTTTCCTCGAGTTCATTTAATACAATATAGATTTTAAATACATTTACTATTGATCAAAATAACTTTCGCCTAATTTGAATATAATCGAAAAATTCGATTCCATTTCTGTTTTGTTCGTTTAAGAAAATTTCGTTACGTTATCAAATTCTGTAACTATATTATCATTACAAAATTCTAGTAAAGCTACATTAATCTAAGCAACGATAACTTTCGGTAAGCATCTATTTTACTCGTCGTCAACAAAAACCTACCTGTGATATTTGATAAATCGATTTTTTTCACAGTTCCATGTATTTTCTTTTTACATTCTGCTGCTATTCACAATTCAAAATCTTCGAAAGAGAATCAATACTCGTATTGCTACTTTACCTTTTAGTATAATCAGAATGAAAGAGTATTTCATTCATTTTATAATCTAACCGTACTCTTTTACATAATTTTCAATAAGAAAAAGAAAAACCCATAACATCCATAAGTCACGTTCCGTATGTCATTCTTTCTTTAGCCAATACGATAAGAGAAAGAAAAAGTAATCATCGCAGTCTCCAACAACCTGATTACTGAAGAAAAGTAAAATTTAATCGAACCGTTTTTAATTGATGTCGCATCAAAAACTATCATAAATCTACATTGCATATACTTTTGTCACATAATTACAGTCTTTTCTATTAGAAAACGATATGAAAAATATTAAAAAAAGCTATTTTTCAATAGACTACACATACGATAAGTACGAATGAATATCAGGATGCTTTCATTTTCTAAAGAATCTTTTCAGAGTTAACGATCTATTCATTAGTGGACCTAGTATTTTCATGATGAAGGGCCATGTAACTTGAAGATTTTAACTAATATTTTGAAATTTATCTTTAAGTGATTTTCTTGCTAAAGAAAATCACGAATATATTTTATTATCAGAATGAGAGTAAACGCTTCTAACACTTTCTCCCACTGGATTCGAAGTATAAGAAGTACTATTATACCATATTATATTGTTGAGTATTTGAGTGGGTGTGAACTACAGTAGAAACTGACGGAATCAAGTGATTCGTATTTCTTCTTGGTGAATCTAAAATATGTTAGGAATACAGAAAATAATGCTACTGGTTGCATAATTTCACAAGTCAACTTTACATCGGCCATTATCACAGAGAGAACTATCCTTGGATAAGATCCTTCAATTTTCTTTCTTATGTTCCGTACCTGGACTGTTGTGGTTCAATTTGATTATAGGACTGTGTTCATCGCTAAACGACAGAAGTTCGAAATCGGTTTCCTCAAACTCAAAATGCAACTCTTCTATTTTGTCAAAAATAAAATCAAAACTTCAACTTTTGAAAAACTTATCACAGTTACATTGAAGATATTTCATACATCTATCCTTATCTAATATGTTCATGTCATAAACACCTCTATCATACCTGTCAAAATCATTTGTAGTCATATTGGTGTCATCACTTGTATGCATTTGATGAATAAATGTTTGGTTTCTCGTCATATCTTCGTTGTTAATATCAATCATTGCTTATTCGTAAGTTGCCAATTGAGGAGAAAAAAAAGAAAGAAAACGAAAGGGGTTGGACGACAGGTTTTTTTTCTTCTGTCAATGTGTTTGTGTATACCACACGGTCATATCATCATCATGTTCAAGTAAACATTCGGCTGTCGTTGTCTTTTGTCTGTCTTGTCGTTTCGTTCGCTGATTGCTCGTTTTACTTATGCGACAAATATTCTTCTCAACGAATCACGTTCGACAAAGTTCAACGTCTCGTTGCTCTCTGCTACCGTTTAACTTTTGTGTTTTATCGACGAGAAAGAACAAGAGACAATTGATCCACTATTTTGTTCTCTCTTTTTCTCTCTCTCTTACTCTCTCTCTCTCTCTATATATATATATGCTTAGTTA